CTGTCGTCCCCACCGGCAGCTGCCGTAGCATGATGCCAGTCGCCAACCATAGTAAGGTTGTTTTCAGAAATACGAATATGACGTTTGAACGTTTAAATACCAGTCGGTTGTAAGTCGAATGTATAATTATGTTGAAAGATCGCTCGCACGACTCGTCACTGGATCGAGATGTTCTGCCACTAGTTGGTCCGATATTTACATCTACGGCCAACTATTGATCCGATCACAATGCAGTGGCAGCCAATGTCCACGCAAGCGCAGTCATATTTTATTGCCGGGCTATCCACCTCAGTGCGGCAATTCTCTTGGTACTTATGGAGTAGAATATGGCTGTATTGTATGTATAAAGCGCTGTAGATAGCGGGTTTGATTTGGGTGACGTATTATAAAAGGAATCTTGAATGTGTGCACTGTGCGGGCACTACTCTTGTCCGCCACTGTACAAGTAGGAGAAGTGTAGTCTCAAATTTGAGCTTGCAGACAACACAATAATAGTATTTCATTGCGAAAGAGAAAGCTGATGTTAGACTCAGTGATCATCGCAAACTATCAGTCATATTTTTGGGCAATTTTACACGCTCGAATCCTTGCGCATCTGGCTTTCGCATCCTGAATCCGCACATCAGTTTGTGCTCCTTCCAGTCTCTGCGTGGAGTATCAGCTTCACCGCTATATGCAATTCTCAAAAGACTAGCTTACGCCCTCTGACAATCTCGTCCACAATATCGCGTTGAGCATCTGCTGCAGCGATGTGTACTTTCCCTGGTGCATCCTCGACGCATACATGTGTCCTTTTTCAAGCACTTTCGCATCAGCTCATCGACGGCCGTAAACGCTGTTTCCTTCCATGCATCTCCATCGATAGGGGTATTGTGGGCATCTCTAACAGTAAAACCTTTGTGAGTGACCCATTCTGACGGCTGGAGCACCTTTCCGTCTTTAAAAAATGCACGTTCGGCTAGGATGCGCAAGAGACGAGGACGGGGAAATTCCTTCCCGATTAGAACGACAAGTGACTGGTGCTTCTCGATTGCCGAAAGAAAGCTGCCAAATATGCGGGTAAGAATGTCTGCGAGAGAATACGTCAGTCATAGAGTATACTGAAGTCCACTGGCAGCACGCACGCATCATCACAGGGTTGTCTATACATCGAGGAATACCAGCATCAAGTGCGTCAAAAAATCCGGCTTTTACCCATGTTGAAATCAATGGCTCTAGCTGATCAGCAGCAGTCCGTGCGCATTGCTGAACACAGCTTTGTACATTGATTATCCACTGGGTGCACCAAAATTCCGATGCAATGCTGACGTAGGTGAATATGCTTTTCCAGAACGGGACTGACCGGCGTGAGCAGTGGAGGAACTGAAGATGCTGTTCTCGCTCTATCACTGAACAGAGTCCCATCGCAAACGCAAACACAGGCTCGATGTCATTTTCGGCCAAAAAATCCAGATATGATGCACAAGCAGAGAGGAGTCGGTGAGGAGAAGATGCGCCCAATAGTATACGGCGAAGAAACCATGGGGGTCGCGGGTTGGTCTTTCTATACTCCTCCAGGATTTCGAAGCTGGGCTCTGTTAGCTGAGCAAGTAAGGAGGCCAATATTGGCGTATCCAGGGCCTCAGTCGCATGAACAAAAAAACGGGCGACGACTGGGATGGTGAGATCGGACTCAGAGTCTAAAATACTAAAATGTTTTCAGGACATATATCGGATACAGGAAGCGCAGGTACCTCAGAAAAGTTGGATCGGCGCCGATGAGACGAACAAGCATCTGAGGAATTAGCGCTCGCTCCCTGGCGTGCACTGATCCTTCTTTGAGTGTATTATCAGGATCGTCCCATAGCTGCGACGGGACCAGGTCATCAGTGAATTCCTAATGGCAATGGCCCAAATCTTACTCGTTGCATCATGCCAGACCAATTTCTCTTCAGATCCTGAATGTACCTGCGACCTATGACAGATGGGGTACATTCTATACTAAATCCTTTGACCCCACTACATAGGACATCCAAAGGTGGATAGTAGGCAGCCGGAACCTACATTGGACACAAGACGTGGTGTCCATCAATGAGACCGACGGTACGAGCTTATTATGAACTCACATCTCTGCTTAACTGTTCCTGTAACTCTTCGGGATGAGAGGCTGGAAGTCGAGACATGAACGGAACATATTCCTTGGCACCTCGCGCCAAAATATCTGTTATGCCCAGCCTCACTAAGCGATCCCAAACGGAATTTTGAGCAGCGGCTATTTGCGAAATTGCGAAAAGGGCGGGTCCGACATCCTGGCATCGGAACAGTAACAACCCTCTACTTTCTGACTTCACTAGAGAATGACTTACTGCAAATGTGTCTCCCCACTGATTGATTCGATCAATCCTCATCTCTTGGGTAGGACCTAAAGTAAGAGCGTCGATAACGCGCTTTGGGTTCGTACGACATAGCTGCTCCCATTTATGAGCCTGCTCGTCCGTGTGATAAATCACAGGATAGAAAAACTTGCGCCCCACCATGGACGACTAGCTGAGCAGTATTTCAGGACGAGATCGATATACAAATCGACGCACTGGAGGCTTACTTGCAGGAGGACAACGTGCGAGATCACTGCGTAACGCCATTTGTATCCTCTCTGATAAGGTTATTCGGCACATGTGCGCCTGGTGAGGCGCCAAGAAACGACGTGTTGTCTCCAAGGCGCACAAGTACTAAGTCGGCGACCCTGGCACGTAGTAATGTCAAACAGTCAGACTAGTCAGTGCCAGCCGGCCATTCCGATCACTGCTAGCTTTTAGTGGCGCATCAAAATCGGCCGCAGTGCCATATTTCCGACTCGCAGTACTACAATAGCTATAGGCTATACAACGCCCTTACATGTATGCATTACATCTTATGCGTGTAGATTCATATGAACATCACTTAGTTTATATTTTGGATGCTGACGTTGGAACGCTGAATCCAACAATCAACAGGATGATAACATACGCAAAGGTTTTCATACGAAGGATCCAGTCCAGGTATTTTATTCGCCCTTCCATTCGCTCAACAAAATGCAGTTGTCCTTCATGCCAAATTTGAGATATTCTTCGGGGTAACGTGTACCCTGTACCTCCGCCGCCTCCACTGTTGCACGGATCTCCTTGACATCGTCTGAAGAGAGCTGGATTTCCGCGGCCTTCGCGTTTTCTTCCAGGAGAGTGACGGATCGCGTCCCCGGGATCGGAACAAAATCTGGGTGCTCAGCAAGAATCCAAGCAAGGGCGATTTGTCCAGGCGTGGATTCATACTTGTTGGCAACGGCGCGAAATTTGTCCACCAGGACCAGATTCTTGGGAAAGTGAGCTTCGGAAAAGCGGGGGAATGCCAGACGCCTATCGTCCTCGTCGAAGTCGGCCCGAGATTTGTACCTGCAAAAAACGGTTTGTTAGTTGCACGAGCAGATCGAAGGAAAATGTGCTCACCGGCCAGTGATCAGCCCTAGTGAAGGCCGGTGTCAGCGTATGCTTAAAGCGTATTTTGAGATGCATGGCTCGTACCTCTGCCCAAGGGTGAGTAAGCAACTACAGCGACTCCGAGCTCACGAGCCGCAGTCACGAATCCAGACTTTTCAAGACTCAGTTCGAAGGGGCTGAATTCCATTTGACAGGCTATCACTCTCTCGCCGATACCAGGCACACTTCTGGCGCGCTTCATGACATCGATTCCGCATTCACTCAGGCCGATATATTTGACTTTCCCGCCCTCGACGTAAGGGCGCAAAGTCTCCAATACAACTAAGCAAAGATATCAGCTCACAGATAGTTCCTTTTTTTTTTTGCCGATGCAGAATACGAGCTTACCCTCGATAGGAACGTTAGGATCAACACGGTGTTGATAGTAGAGGTCGATCCAATCAGTCTTCAAGTCCTTCAACGATTTCTCCAGCTGATGTTGGATATACGACGGTTTACTATTGGGCTTTGAGGGATCCGCACCTGGAGTTTGGTCTCTTCCGCCCCACTTTGTCGCCAAAAAAATTTCAGACCGTCTTCCCGTCTCGATAAACCACTTTCCGAGTACAGCCTCACCTACGAACATATCAACACTAAGACAAACGATCGACAAAGATCGTCGATGTGCGACTTACTAGCCCCATACATATCGGCTGTGTCCCAGAATGTCACTCCACGGTCTGCTGCGTATGTGAGTGTTCTGAAGGCCTCATCCATATCAGTGTTTCCGTAGAAAGCACCGATGCCTGTTGAGCTAGTTCAGTGTCCGAAAGCACAACAACCGCTGGGACCCACCCATCGATCCGAAGCCAATTGCACTAACAATGGGACCATTTCGACCAAGTTGGCGGGTAGGGTAAGTGGCTGGTGACATGTTGTAAAACCTTGTCGCTGGGGCGTGTTCTAAACTCGAGCCCGCAACGCTCAGGCCGGCACGTATTTGTACACCTGGAAAATATGATAATGTCGCGTATACTTACTTATCAATCATTCTCTCATGCAAGGCTTCTACATGAGACAATCCACGTCATTGGTCGGGCCGATGTGGGGTCGCACTGGTAATAGCCACTCATGTTTGTTCACTTGAGATGTCTAGACCCAGAGTGCCGTACGCATTCTCCTGAACCAAGTAGCGCGATTGTGATACGTTTGTCTGCACCTAGTGATGTCAGAAATCGAGGTTCCCGACAATGCAAAACTCCCCTGGCTGGTTATGTACATGGCCGCCCAGTTCACTCCATAAGAGGTTGTGCCTTTCAACAAAAAGGACAAGCGATGAGCGGTGGATATCTGCTGAATGTAAAGATGATACAATACCTGCAGAACAGGGTCACCATCGTCCGAGGAAGCCACAAGTGTTTCCCCCATCTCGGCAAAGGATGGCACGGCAATCACCATAGGCAATGATTCGCAGACGGCAAGCGCCAAAGTGGGAGGCCGTCGCAAAGCAGCTCGGTGAGGGTACCACAGATGACGAATCTGGAAAGTAGGCGAATGGAGGCCTGCCTGTCATTGCTGCCCGTAGTCCAGAGCAACATAGTATCACAACCTGAGATGGAGGTGAGCATCATCCGAGGAAAAGTTAGTCACAAAGCGACACACATCCTGATGCATTCTCACTCTGCATCTGTTCGACCCGATGTGGCCATCTTCTAATCAAGCCTTTTGAAAATGAGCCATCGTAGTACACGACTCCGCCTTGAGCGTCGCGGTATGATATTCGCTCATCCAGGTTGGCTGTATGGGCTCCATTTAGCCCACAAATATCTGGCGTAGTTGCGTCTGCTCTCATTCCAGGACACGCTCGAGATACTTCTCTTCTCGAGCTTGCCCCCGTCTTCGTTCAGAGCGTAAGTGGAGCGATCGGGGCACTCGGCATGCCTGCTCCCAACTCCAGAATCGACGATACTGGTCAGCTTTCCGGTGTCATCAACGAGGAGGTCGTGGAATGACAGGTCGTGGCAGTAGATGATTATGCTTTCAGGCGCGTCCCACGGGGAGATGACTGGGAGCAGGCGAATGAGACGCTCGGCGAGAGCCTGGGTCACTTCTGCATCTTCGTGGGCATGCTCGGTGACGCTGCTTGCGGACAAATACCGTTGCAGCGATCTCGCTGAGCGCGTCTTCAAATGTGACTCGACTGACAGTACGACGCGAACGAGGAATGCGTACTTGGATAGTTCAGAACTTATTGAAGTCTCCCGGGGTGAAGATAGCAGCGGTGCACGTAATGTGGTCGAGGAGGCGCAATAACTTGCGGGTGAGTTGCTCAAAAGCAGAGAGAAGGTTCAGACATCCAACGGGAATGACGACCCAATAAACCAGACTCTCGTTCCATTTTTCTAGATATCGGCTGTGAAAGCAATGAGACGAGAAGGAGCAAAAACAGGGTAGGCCTCTAGGAGGGTCAAATTCTGGTGGCATGCACG